CCTGTGTATGGTTTGCCAATTGCACAGTGGCAGATAGGACAGCGCTCCAGAGGGTTAACGTCATTGCCCAAAGGATCACTGGTTGCCCCCTCCCCTCCTTGGAAGAGCTTTATAGCTCCCGCTGCCTTAAGAAAGTTCAAAACATTCTTAAAGATCCATCTCATCCTGGGCATCCTTTTTTTTTTTTTGAACTATTACCATCTGGCAGACGGTACAGGACAATAAAAACAAGGACAAATAGGCTGAAAAAACAGCTTCTACCCCAGGGCAATAACCATATTGAATTCTACAGTATAGTGTAATATTGAGTTTTCAGTTTCAATTATATGGAATGTAAAGGATGTATGTTTGTGCTTTTATTTTTATAGTTATAATATACACTGAAGACGGCATTTAATTTCATTGTACCATGTGCAATGACAATAAAGTAAACTAAACTAAACTAAATTAGCCGGTTCTCTGAGCTGAGACCTGTGAACCTGGAAGTCAATTTCAGGAGAAATGGAAGCCCAAGGAAATAGTCACCAGCATACTGGCCTGGGCTGGCAAAATCTCCATGGCGACTGCATGCTGGCAAAGAGGTTTTTTTAATCTCTTTGTTGCCACCTTGTGATGGGTTAGACTTTTGCAGATCTGGCAGTATTCTATAATACCAGAATAAGTCCAGTTATCCAAAGAGTTTTGTTTCTCAGATAAGCACACGTTGACCATCGGTTTGCAAATTCAGAGATTGAGTTAGGATTCTAAGCATCCGCCTGGCACCCCCTCATGCTCAGCTGTAAGCATGTCATCCTGTAGATACTTAACAATCTAAGTCAGAAATTGAACTTATAATTAGTGCATACCAGTATAAAGATACAGAGATACGATCTGTGCAGTGTGTACAAAATAGGAGTACCTTAACTATAGCTAAAAAGTAGTCCAACGTTTCTGTAGAATGTTTTCAGTTCATCGATTTACGTATTGGGTTACAGCTCATCTACAAAAGGGTGCAGAACTTCCCTTGGTGTCAGTGGGGTAGACTACTAACCGTGGCGACGAGATCAAAGTTGCAGAGAGGATAGGTTCAGATTTGATCCAGAATGGTGGCTCAGAGACTTATTTAGAAAATAAGGGACTTTCCCTCCTTCTATAGTTGATCATAGGTAAGGTTTGCCCACGTCTCAGGTCTGTCTTGCAATCTCTACATAGTAACAGTACTGACCAGCCTTAAACAGCTGCTCCACATCTTGGTTAGAGGGACGCAAAATCCATTGGGTATCCAAAATGTGTAGAAATCTGTACAAGGATACTCGTACAAAAGTATTTTACGTGGCATGAACTTCGGCTGAAGTTCCTTTTGAACTTTGAAAAGTTCCTTTTGAACTTTGGGATTTTTTTTTTTTTTTACTTTTAACTTGTAAATTTTAACCTTGTTTTTAGACTGTTTTAACTTTGGTTTTTAGTCGCGTTTCATATTATTTTATGATGATGATTGTAAACTGCCCAAAGTTACTTAAGTAAAATGGACAGTGTAGAAATCTGATATATAAGCAACTTAAAAAAAACACTTTGGGAGTTAATTTTTTTTTATATAGCAGACAGAATGTGGCTATTCGAAATGTGCATTGCCCCAAATGTGACACTTTTTGCAACTCTACTACACAATTCTACTTTTTGCAACCACATGAATATGTGAGCTCTCATCTCAACTCAACTGAGCAATTGTCCTTTCCTTTCCTTCCAAAAGCTAAATGCTAAATGAGCGCAAAGAACACAACAAATGAATTTTACATGATGCAAAAATATTCTTTCCCTCACTCTCCCTCAGTTTGCGTTCCTTGAAGTTACTCATTGGTTCACTGAACAATCTGAAATTCTATCGTGAGAAAGGAAGAAGCATCTGTTCTCTCTTTCTTGGCACAGCTGTCTAGTTCCAAAACTCCACCAAGCTTCTTGAATTATCTTGTCCTCTTCTAAATTGGGACACCGCCAAATGTTTTAGTCCTTCTTGGTGCGAGCTGGCACTAGCAATAAGCAGCTCAAACATTCAACCCAACCTAAATGTGTTAGAATTCAGTTCGCATAACCTGGTAGGACCAGTTTTGCTGCTTTGGGATTATAGGATGTAAAATCTAGATCTACATCTGGACAGAATCTGATTCTGGGAGATGTTTTAGAATAACATCTACTTTGGTACTCATTTCGAAGGTGCATTTTGAAAGGCAACTGGACTTTCTTGAAGGTGTTTCACGTCTCCTCCAAGAAGCTTCTTCAGTTCTGAGACAGAAACTGAAGAAGCTTCTTAGAGGAGACGTGAAACATCTTCAAGAAAAAAAACCACAAGAAAGTCCAGTTGCATTCTGGAAAAGAACTTTTTGGGACAACCATGACCTGGATGATTTGAGAATCTGCTTTGGTAATTATCATGTGGTTATACACGAAGCACAAGTTGATGCTATACCATGGGCAAATCATATTTTATTGTCTCAAAGGACGTTTATATAAACATTTTATTTAATTCACCAGGCAAGCTTCCTGAAAAATAATGCTGATAATTCTGTTGATGACTATATTGATGATTTTACATAATGGTGGTAAGTGAAAAATTATATCACTGTTTTGCTTCCTTCCTCTTCTCTAGATTATTTGATATAGGCAGGTTGTTCAAATAACTCCTTGAGGTGAATTTCTGCAGGCAGAATAGTTGCTGTTATTGCTATTAATACTACTGGGTAAAAACATAATAAAAGTAGATCTACACATTAAATCCCATTGATTTAATTTGATAAGAAAGTTGATCGCTATTGATTTTGTGATAATTGGGAGTTAGGTGGCATGTACATTTAAATGATGAGAATTATAATATAATAATGATGACACTAGCAGATTTCTAGAAGGAAATGCTGCAGATATGGCTGGATAAGCTGTTTTTATTCAGTGTGACTATTAAGTAATAAAATGGTCAGATTAACAGTAAAATACACAATTGTTTTTGAATGTTACACATAATGACTTCCTTGTGGTGGTCCCTGTATGCCTTGATTGACAAGTTAGGATTCCTCTGTGGATAAGAATAATTCTTCTCTTATTGAAGAATTATTATCTAATAATCTGTATAAATAACAAAGAAGATTAGGGGCCTAGAATCTATAACATATGAAGAACGATTGCATCAGGGGTGGGTTCTACTTACTTTTACTACTGGTTGGCATCGCGCCCGTGCGCGTGCTCTTCGGTGCATGCACAGATCACCTATGATGATGTCCCGGTCAGTGGGTGGAGCCTCCTGCCGGTTTTACTACCGGTTCTTGTGAACCGGTCCGAACCGGGGGCAATCTACCACTGGATTGCAGGAATTGGGTAGATCTAGTCTAGTGAAAAGAATTTATTTTATTTTATTTATTTTATTTTATATCAAATTTATATACCGCCCTTCTCCCTGAGGACTCAGGGCGGTGTACAGCCAAATAAAAACATAGACTACAAACATTAAAATACTATTAAAAAGATATACATAAATTTGGTCCCGTAATTAAAAAAACAATGACAAACCAATTAAAAACATTTAAAAGTGTTAAGCCAGCCTGGCTTGCTGAAAAAAGAAAGTTTTAAGGGCACGGCGGAAGGCACCGAGGTCTTGGATTCTCCTTATCTCTGGGGGCTGTTGGTTCAAGAGGGTAGGTGCCCCACAGAGAAGGCCCTCCCCCTGGGGGTCACCAGCCTACATTGTTTGGCTGATGGCACCCCGAGGAGGCCCTCTCTGTGGGAGCGCACAGGTCGATGGGAGGCTGTCAGTAACAGCAGGCGGTCTCGAAGATATCTAGGTCCTATGCCATGGAGCGCTTTAAAGGTGATAACCAACACCTTGAAGCGCACCTGGAAGACCACTGGGAGCCAGTGCAGCTCACGCAGGAGACGTGTTGTATGGGAGCGCCATGCAGCTCCCGTAACTATCCGCGTGGCCGCATTCTGGACCAGTTGGAGCCTCCGGGTGCCAGAAGGATAAGGAGTGACATGATAGTAGTCTTCCAATAGTTTAGGATCTCTGCTTGAACAGAGGGTTGTACTAGATGACCTCCAAGATCCCTTCCAACTCTATTATTGGTACTACTTGTGTTAACTAATTACTTTAATCCTAGGCAAAAAGGACTGATGATTTTAGGAGATTTCTAAACTAGTAGATGTAGAATTAAAAACTGAAATCTGGTTCTGACTCTTTAGCAAGGATATTCCTAGGTGTACATAGATGTAGATGTAGATGTAAATGAAGTAGATGTTAAAACGGAAGATAAAAATGAATACAAACTAATACAAACTAATACAAACTAAGAAAGAGAAATCAAAACAAAAGCTAAAAGTGCAAGAGAAGGAAAAAAAATAATAGAAAAATAGAAAAGAAAGAAAAATAAATCAAAGAAATAGCTTCTGATCTTTACAACTCTTATAAGTACAATTGTAAATTGCCTCTTACTCTATGGTTATAGCATGACTCCTTTCTTTCTATCATCTGTCTAATCATCAAAAACCATCAAAACCATAAATTCATTTTTTTCTGCTTCATGAACAAAGTCCATAAGGGTTTTCAAGCCAGTAATAAGGATAGATTTTATCCTTTCTCTGATCAAAGAAGACAATTCAGCCATTTCCGAAAGTTCCATCACCTTCACCGCCCATTCTTCTGTTGTGGATAATGCCAAATCGTCCCCATCTTTGTACATACAATAATCCTGCTTCAGTTATCATGTATAAGAAACATGATTCCATAACTTTTTTTTTGAAACTTTATGTCCATCATTCTTGTGGGAAGTGGGGAGGGGTTCAATCTACGTTTATCTTTTGTCAAGTGTGGAATGGTTTAGGGATGCTAACCTATCCTCAAGAGCTAATTTGATTTCCCCTCTGAATGCATCTCTCTCTCTCTCTCTCTTTCTCTCTCTCTTTCTCTCTCTCTCTCTCTCTCTCTCTCTCTCCCTCCCTCCCTCCCTCCCCCCCTCTCCCCTCTCTCTTGGTTGATGCAGGTACTCAGGGATCAGAGACAGGAGCTAGAGGTATTTTGCTGGATCTCCCACATGCAGCAGAAAGAAATCTAAGTAAGATATACTTTTTAAGATAGTCATTTGCTTGTCTGTCTGTCTGTCTGTCTGTCTGTCTGTCTGTCTGTCTGTCTGTCTGTCTGTCTATCTATCTATCTATCTATCTATCTATCTATCTAGTTTGTTTGTTTGTTTGTTTGTTTGTTTGTTTATTGGCAAACAAGGAGTTACAAAGCCCTGGCATCTCAACTCTCCGCCTTTTCTCCTAAATTTCCAGCTAATAACTGGAAGCAGCTAGATGAAAGGCAGGCGTAGAGAAAACCATGGAGAAGATCTGTTGAGACCATTAGTGAAACATGGACTTAGCTTGGAAAAACAGAAACATGTGAGGAAGAAACTCAAGACTGCATCATCATGTCTCACTTGGGTATAAGAGGAAGGGCAGAGAAATGCTGATAGCTGTCAATAAAGTCAGCTTCTGGCATTTTTGGTGGTCCCTGTTTCCTGATCTGGTCCACCTCAAAAGGTTGACATAAGTCTTTTGTACCAAAGTTTACACCAAAGAGAAATAGTTGGACAATTGTAAATTTCTTTTTCTTGACTCTCCAGGATGAATTCATGGTTTGCTAATAGTGTCTGCAGTTCTTCTCCAAGATCATCCCTGTTATTTTCTACCAGAGCTGAGCAATGTAAACCAGAAGATTTCAGCTATATGTTAGGCAGTTCCAAACACTGTCCATCTTTTTAGACAGCATCTCCCCAGAGCTTCATACAACTTTCACCCTACGGTCTTTAAATAAAATCCAGTTCTTCCCTTTGGTCTTAGATCTCTATAGGGTTGGGCCTCTTTAAAGCATAAAATGGAGTGAGCATTTTTTTGGGGGGGGGATTTGCTCCCTCTGAGTGATTGCTCTTCTTTTTATACTATTTATACTTTTTATACTATTATATATATAATAGTTGATAACCTGGCATTGCCTGGGTATTTATTCATCCCAATCCTGTATTAGACAGGAAGAGCAACTTCACCCTGAGCCCTGATTTCGGCGAGAATTAAATTAGTTAAAAATGTTTTCCCTGTGCCCCCGGAAGTGTCAAGTGAAATGATACCACCTTGTTGTTTTGCTAGCTGATCCATGATTATTTGGTATGCTTTTTTCCGATCTTGGTTTAGAAGTGGCTTCTTGTCCGCGATATATGCACTATGCTGTTTGAAATTGCAGTTCTTTTCTCCTATGTAATCTGCGTGAAGTATGTCGTGTCGGTCTCGTAGCGGTGCAGGCAGGCCAAGTTGCAATAATGTTTTATTGATCATGGCCATACATTTGTCCTCAAGAATAATCAAAGCTTTGTTGAAAATGTCTGGACCAAACGTAATTTCTAATGTTGGATTTTCCCCCTTACCAGAGGGAGCCCCCTTGTGGAGTACTGTGAAGCCATTACCATGGCAACTCCACTGTGCTGTACAGCAGAAGCCATTTTAAGACAGTACAGTAGCAGCCATTTTAAGGCACAACAGGCTGTATCTTAACAGAACACACACCCTGAGAGGTGTTAGGGGTGTCTTACCCCCACAGTATTTTTTTTCCAGAGAGTAAGTCATCTGTGTACCAAGTTTGGTTGAAATTGCTCAAGGCGTTCCAGAGTTATGCTGGAACATACACACACACCCATTTAATTTAATTTAATTTAATTTAATTTCGAATTTATATACCGCCCTTCTCCCTGAGGACTCAGGGCGGTGTACAGCCAAGATAAAAAACATAGAATACAAATATTAAAACATTTAAAAATATATATAAAATTTGGCCCAAAAAATTAAAAATCACAGACTAATTAAAAGGATTTAAAAGTTTTAAAATTTCTTCTTAAGCCAACCCGGCTTGCTGGAAAAGATAGGTTTTCAGGGAACGACGGAAGGCATTGAGGTCCTGGATTCTTCTTATATATATATAGATTGCTGTTATTTTTTTTAATTGCAAAGCCATCCAGAGTTGGTTTTGGAGTGAGGTAACCTAGACATTGGACAAATTAAAAAACTTAAATAAATAACGTTATCCTCCAGGTTGACTCTCTACTGAGATGTTCAGAACTGGAAATAACAAGAAAGGACATTTCAGAGTCCTTCTGAATTCAAAGCCTGACCTCTTGTTTCTGAGAGGTTTTAAGGCATTAATAGATAATGAAAACATTAAATTATAATCTTTCCTTGAAGGCGGCAAAAGGATTGAATTACTCCCTTCAACAAATGAGAGGTAGGATTCGAAGCAGTCTTAAAGTGCATTAATGTTGGCCTTCACCAAAAAGGAAGGAAAAAAAGCAATTAAATTAGTAGCAGAAGTATGAGATTGTGCGGAATGGTACCAATTCACATCAAATGGAGAGGAAACTGCCATATGTTTGACTTCTCTATATTAAATAACTTTTTTGCCAAATTTTGCAAAACCGGTCCACAGAATAAAGGAATTTCCCAATAGTTCTTGCATTTACTTATGCTATATTGGTGAAATAGCACAATAATTTGAGCAACACCAGTAACAAAACTGGAGCCTTGGTGGCGCAGCAGACTAAAGTGATGTTAAGTAGCACCAGCTGCCTGCAGTTACTGCAAGTTCAAATCTCACCAGGCTCAAGGTTGACTCAGCCTTCCATCCTTTCCAGGTAGGTAAAATGAGGGCCCGGATTGTGGGGGCAATAAGGTGACTTTGTATAAAAAATAACACCGCTTAGGGGGGCCGAAAGCCCTACTAAGCAGGTATATACAAAAGTATGAAGGCTGTTGCTTAACGCATTGTAAGCTGCCCTGAGTCTCCGGAGAAGGGCGGCATATAAATCGAACCAATAAATAAATAAATAAAACAGTCTCCCATCCTAAATTACACTACCAAAATAAAACTAGCAAAAATGGAGACACCAAATGTATGTTTGCGTATGTTTGTATGGACACGGTGTGAACTCCATTCTATTCTGCTTCTAAAACATATTCGTTTTTTAAAAACAGTTTGTGTTTGGGACTAAGAGATTAAGAAACAGATGGTGGATCTTGGATTTTTATCTTGCAAAGGTGAAATTTGCCTCCTGTTGCTATGAGATGTGATATAATTGCTGTGATTTTCTAATGTTCTTCAGATACACAGTCGTGGCAAAAATTGTGGAAACCTTTTGGGAAAAGTGTATTTTCTAAAACTAGTTAATAACACCACTTTTTTTTTAGTAGTACCATAAATTTATATATCAATGGAAAGATAATTTAATCAAGAATGTAATGCAATAACTTTTATGAAGGATTTGCTATTAGAACACCATGTTTCCCTGAAAATAAGACCCCGTTTTATATTAAATATGTAGAAAAAACGACTAAAGCCGACTAAAGAAACTTGTTAGACAGAAGCGACCCAGCAATAAAACCCAGTTAATAGAAGCAATCCTTCAATCTTGGTTTCACATTATAACAGCTGCAGAACTAAAAGACTTGGTTCACTCCATGGGAAGACGTTGTAAGGCCATAATTCATGCTAAAGGTTACCCACTAAATATTAAATGACATGGTGATCATTTTTGTATATCCCAATTTTTGTGTATCTCATTTTTTCTATGTGTTTCACTTTTCTTCTTTATACTGTAACTGCTATTCTAATAGCAAATCCTTCATAAAAGTTATTGCATTACATTCTTGATTAAATTATCTTTCCATTGATATATAAATTTATGGTACTACTAAAAAAAAAAGTGATGTTATTAACTTGTTTTAGAAAATACACTTTTCCCAAAAGGTTTCCACAATTTTGGCCACTACTGTATTTGTGTTTTAATAGTTTGTGTTTCCCCTCAGATAATATCACCTTCTTCAACGGAGTCTTTGAGAATGTGGAAAGTGTTGCTTTGTTCTTTGGTAAGTGGGCTTTTATTTGCTTGTTGGTTTCCATTGGATTAAAGGATCCCTTTGTCTGTATTGGTATTTAACAGAATAACAGAGTTGGAAGGGACCTTGGAGATCTTCTAGTCCAACCCCCTGCTCAAGCAGGAAATCCCATACCATTTCAGACAAATGGTTGTCCAATCTCTTCTTAAAAACTTCCAGTGTTAGAGCACCCACAACTTCTGGATTCTTGTTCCACTGATTCATTGTTCTAACTTTCCCCACAAATGGTGAAGAAATGTGGATGCATCTGAATGCAGATAGGTGCAAACTTAGGAAAAGCTGGTCGGCTGCATATCGTGAATGGAAGGTGTGACAAAGCACAACTTATCAGAACTCTTCTGGTCTTTGTTTTGAAATAGAAAAGTAAACTTGATAGAGCACATGGCTAAGCGGGTATAGGTGATAGATTGGCCCATTCATCTGTCTGTACAAGAGCCACATCATTTTTCAGCAGTAGTCTTCTACAGGGGTGGGCTGCTGGGGGTTCACAGGGGTTCAGGAGAACCTCTAGCTAAGATTCTGTGCAGTTCAGAGAACCCCCAAATCCCACTCCTGGCTTGGCCCCTACACCCCGCCCCTCCCAGGAGCCCCTACATGGCCTGTTTTGGATGCAGGTAAATGCAGGGCGTGCGTGGAGGCTCAGGGAGGGCAAAAAACAGGTCTACTGGAAGTTCAGAAGGCTGGAAACAGGCCTGTTTCTGGCCTCCAGAGGGCCTCTGGAGCCTGGGGAGGCTGTTTTCGCCCTCCTGGAAGCTCGAGGAAAGCCTCCGGAGCCCGGGGAGGGCAAAAATGCCTTCCCTGCTGTGGTGCAGGAGGCTGACTAGGCCACGCCCACCATGGCCACACCCACCCAGCAACCGGGCAGAGAACCCCTTGCTAAAATTTTTGAAGCCCACCCCTGGTCTTCTACAACATGCTCACCCAAAACTCTTAACCAGCTTAAAGGAAAACAAGGCAGATGCATTTTTTCAACCAGCTCGATTTCATTAGTGATAACTTTAGTTGTTGTTTTTTTGTTGCTTTAAATATAGTTCAGGGTGTTGCTTAAGAAGATTAATACAGAAACTACATTACATTTGAGCCGTAATTGAGAAATTAGCCATAATGAGCCGTGGTGGTGCAATGGTTAGAGTGCAGTGCTTCAGGCTACTTCTGCTGACTGCCAGCTGACTGCAGTTCGGCAGTTCGATTCTCACAGGCTCAAGGTTGACTCAGCCTTCCATCCTTCTGAGGTCGGTAAAATGAGGACCCAGATTGTTGGGGGCAATATGCTGAATGTCAGGGTTCCAAGTAACACCGCCCAATGAAAGAAAACTCCGAGGCTTGAGTTTCCTCAAAGTTCCGTTGTGTTAGAGATGTCATATTGGCACATCTGGGAAAACCCGAATCTGAAAGCTTCCAGGTTTTCCCCACCCAAAGGAAAGTCCAAATCCCTGCCCAACACCACACCTCCATCACATGATCCAATCAAAGCACCATGCCTCCCAGTTCCAGCCCTCCAGGTGCAGGGCAAGATGTCCTTGACTCTCTGAGAAAGGAATGTTATTATGACTATGTATCTCACACATGCTCCATACAATCCCCCCTCCCAGTTTCCCACAGTAGTAAATGTGGCAGGCCTGAAGGCCTAATGCAAAAGATGGCTTCCAGGCCTGACACTGACTCTGTAAAACCGCTTAGAGAGGGCTGTAAAAGCAATGTGAAGCATTAAATAAGTCTATATTTGTTGTACGAAGCTTCCTAGAAACCAGAGGAAAAAGGAAATAACTTTACCAAACCTTTGGGTGGCCACCAGCTGATATTTTGAAGCTTTGCATTAGAGGAGATGAATAACATTGTGATACTAACATTAATGAGGCATTAATTTGCTGTCTTTGAGGCAGCAAATTTGGCATTCACAGTGCAGTTTCAGCCTTTTGAATTAGACTCAAAGGTCCAACAACTTTCAGATGAAATTTAATATAGACCTCAATCAGATCACAAGTGACTTATCAGTTAAGGTAAATTTTTAAAGCAAATCTAGTGAAAAATCTTGAAGTCATTTATTGGAGTCACCTCATTTACATCATGGTATGAATTAAATCAAGCCATGTAGTAAAGAAACTAAAAGGACAAGTCAAATATAAGTCATATTTTTTAATTAAACATTCTGATTGTTTAATAAACAGAAACTTCTGTATATCATGGTAGAGAAAAGAAGGAAGGATGGAGAAGAAAGGAGGGAGGGAGGAAAGGTAGGTGGGAGGGCAGGAGGGAGGGAGGGAGGAAGAAGGAAGGTAGGAAGAAAAAGGAGGGAGAGAAGGAGGGAGGGATGAAGGAGGGAGAGGGGTTGGGAGGGAGGGGGGAAGGAGAAGGAAGGAGGGAGGGAGGCAGGAAAGAAGGAAGGAAGAAAAAGGAGGGAGGGAAGGAGGGAGGCAGGAAGGAAGGAAGGAGGGAGGGAGGATGGAAGGAAGGAAGGAGAAGGAAGGAAGGAGGGAAGGAAAGAATGAGGGAGGGAGGAAGGGAGGAAGGCAGGAAGCTAAAGTGAAGACCTTTAGGTCTGCTGATCAGGCAAAAGCATATTAGAGATAATGAGAGGATCAAAGAAGAAATCCCTTCCCCATTATTTTGACCACTGATCTCCTACTAAAAGGTGCCATAGGTGAACGATACAAAAAGTGGATTCTTCTGGGATTTTATTTATCACAAAAGAAAAGGAAATGCATTAGGAATTATACAGGACACACAGTTTTATAAAACTTCTACGAGCTAATTAATGTAGATGGAAGCATAGATAGAATGCCCATTAACATCGATAGACACATGACTCTATTTTAAATAGAAGCACAGAACATTTTCCCAGAGTAGAAAGACTATGACCGAGTGACTTCTGTGCTCACTTCCTTGTGGGATGTGCAAGTGCCGATTTCTCCAGATAATTATAAATGTGGACATAATTACTTGGTTTGATAGCCACGTTTGTGCTGTAAATAGGCATTTCTTTCTTTCTTTCTTTCTTTCTTTCTTTCTTTCTTTCTTTCTTCTTTCTTTCTTTCCTTTCCTTCCTTCCTTCCTTCCTTCCTTCTTTCTTTCTTTCTTTCGTTTGTTTCTTTCTTTCTTTCTTTCTTTCTTTCTTTCTTTCTTTCTTTCTTTTTCTCTTTCTTTTTCTTTTTCTTTTTCTCCCTCCCTCCCTTCTCTCCTTTCTTCCTTCCTCTCTTTCCCTCCCCTCTCCCTCCCCCTTTCTTTCTTTCTTTCTTTCTTTCTTTCTTTCTTTCTCCCTCCCTTCTCTCCTTCCTTCCTTCCTTCCTTCCTCTCTTTCCCTCCCTCCCTCCCTCCCTCCCCCTTTCTTTCTTTTTTCTTTCTTTCTTTCTTTTTTCTTTCTCTTTCTTTCTTTCTTTCTCCCTCCCTCCCTTCTCTCCTTCCTTCCACTCTCTTTCCCTCCCTCCCTCCCTCCCCCTCTCTCTCTTATTTTCTTTCTTTCTTTCTTTCTTTCTTTCTTTCTTTCTTTCTTTCTTTCTTTCTTTCTTTCTCCTTCCCTTCTCTCCTTCCTTCCTTCTACTCTCTTTCCCTCCCTCCCCCTCCCTTCCTCCCGCCTGCCTGCCTGCCTGCCTGCCTGCCTGCCTGCTTTCTTTCTTTCTTTCTTTCTTTCTTTCTTTCTTTCTTTCTTTCTTTCTTTCTTTCTTTCCTTCCTTCTTCCTTACTTTTTCTTTTTCTCTCCCTCCCTCCCACCTCCCTCCCTTCTCTCCTTCCTTCCTTCCATTCTCTTTCCCTCCCTCCTTCCCGCCCTCCCTTCCTTCCTTCCTTCCTTCTCAAGAAAATTTACGTGAGTTGGCCGCCCAACTCACGGTAAGTCGGGACAGCTTACAGAAATAAAACCCCAATACAAAAGCCAATAGCCCCCCCCCCCCCCCGGGACAATAATCAAACCAACCACTCGATAGACACCATATCACACTGAGGTCCCCAGGCTTTTCTGCAAAACCATGACTTCAAGGCCTTTGGAAGGAGCATTGAAGTGGGGCCAAAATTATTTCCACAGGGATATTTCCAAAGGTTGGGCGCCACCACAGAGAAGGCCCTTCTTCTTAGTTCCACCAGATGGATCTCTTTAAGAGAGGGGTCCTGTTCCATACCCTGCTCTGGTGGATCAGGTAGATAGGAAAAAAAATGGTCATTCAAATAATCTGACCCCTGGCAATGTAAGACTTTAAAGGTAACCATTAGCAGTTTGAATTAAACCTGGAAGCAAACCAATTCAGCTTTCTCAAGAGAGGTGAAACATAGAAAACCACCAGTGAAGGGTTTCAATTTTTTTTACTACTGGTTCTGTGGGTGTGGCTTGGTGGGTGTGGCTAGGTGGGCATGGCAGGGGAAGGAAATCTCCATTCCCTGCCCACTCCAGGGGAAGGTTACTGCAAAATCCCCATTTCCTCCCAATCAGCTGGGACTCGGAGGCAGAGAATAGATGGGGGCATGGCAAGTCAGAGGTGGTATTTACCGGTTCTCCAAACTACTCAAAATTTCCACTACCGGTTCTCCAGAACTGGTCAGAACCTGCTGAATACCACCTCCGAAAACCACCCATGGGCCACTACATTTTGAACACATTTGGATGCTTTTCAAGGGCAACCCCATGTAGAGCTTATTGCAGTAGTCAAGTTGGGAGGTAACTAGGGCAGGGGTGACAGTGAGCAGGGATTTTCCAGCTAGGCGTTATGTTGCCCAAAGACATTCACAATAAGGCCTACAAGGTTTACTTAAACTTGCATTTCCTACTTCTACTCACCAGTTTCTCCTTCCTTTGCTTGCTTGGAAATTAAGAGATTTGCAAGGCAGCCCTCCACGGATAGTCCCGCTCTATTATTATTATTTTTTTTATTGAAAAAGTTTTTCAAATACAATTTTCCCCCTTTCCCCCCCTCCTCCCTAACCCCCCCTCCCCCTCCCCTCCCCCTGTGACTTCTTCATAATAAAACCCGAATTCATAACAGATTATACAATATTTTACCATCCCCTCACTCCATCCCCATATGCTGACCCTTTCTTTCTAATAAAATTATCATATCCCCCTTATACTATACATTTCAAAATGACATTCTACAATAACATTATATAATAACTCCTAATTTAGCATAATAATAAGTCAAATCTTTTATGTATATTAATCTAACATTTCAAAACAACCTTCCGCTATAAAACTATATAATAAATCCTAATTTAACATTTATTCAGTTCATAGTCTACCCATTTCCTTCACCCCCATCGTTATATCTCTTAACTCAGATCTTTTACATATATTCATATCTAAACATAATATCCCTTTTCTTAAACTAAACAGTCAATAAACTAACCTATCTCCACCCACTTTCCTACAAGACTACCATACTTAATAATTCTTAATATCTTTATTCTTCTGCCCACTCCACTAAAAATATTCCCTTATGTAAATAAAATCCTCTTAAAAAGACTTTAGGCTTGTAATCCATATAATATCTTCTGTAATGTCTTTCAGCTGGATTATAAACTCCATCACCCATGTCAGGGTAACATCACATCCTAATTCCAACAGTATAGTCCCGCTCTATTATTATTTTTTTTAAGTGAAGGATGAGCAGAACTTGAGATGCTGCAGATGTCAAACTTATCCTTGACTTTGCTTGGATGTCAGTTTGACCATTAGCTTCTTCCCATCTTTGCAGATTGCTTGGGCTCTCACTTCACTTGGCTTCAGTCTGTATTCACCAGCTTTCCCCCGTTGCTCAACTTTGTGAGCAGAATGAAGTGTGTGACTGGCGTTTGTCCAAGAGACTTTGAAGACTACGGCTGTGCCTGCCGATTCGAGATGGAGGGCTTCCCGGTGGATGAAGTAGATGGGTGAGATTTGGACCAAAGACAAATTCCTTCTGTGTCCAATCACACATGGCCAATAAAAAATTCTAGTCCTCTTCTCTTCTCTTCTCTTCTCTTCTCTTCTCTTCTCTTCTCTTCTCTCTTCTCTTCTCTTCTCTTCTCCTCTCCTCTCCTCTCCTCCCCTCCCCTCCCCTCCTCTCCCTCCCCTCCCCTCCCTCTCCTCTCCTCTCCTCTCCACTCTCCTCCTCTCTTCTTTCTATTCTATTCTAGATACAAGAACAGTTTTTTCCCGAACGCCATCACTCTGCTAAACAAATAATTCCCTCAACACTGTCAAACTAGTTACTAAGTCTGCATTACTATTAATCTTCTCATCGTTCCTATCTCCCATCTCCTCCCACTTATGACTGTATGACTGTAACCTTGTTGCTGGTATCCTTAAGATTTATATTGACTGTTTCCTAATATGATTTGATTGCTTATTTGTTCCCTATGACTGTCATTAAGTGTTGTACCTTATGATTTTTGACGAACGTATCTTTTCTTTTATGTACACTGAGAGCGTATGCACCAAGACAAATTCCTTGTGTTTCCAATCACACTTTTTTTTAAAAAAATTGATTTATATGCCGCCCTTCTCCGGAGACTCAGGGCGGCTTACAATGCATTAAGCAATAGCCTTCATACTTTTGTATATTTATACAAAGTCAGCTTATTGCCCCCACAAACTGGGTCCTCATTTAACCTACCTTAGAAAGGATGGAAGGCTGAGTCAACCTTGAGCCTAGGGAGATTCGAACCTGCAGAAATTGCAGGCAGCTGTGTTAATAACAGGGTGCTTTAAACTACTGTAGTACCAAGGCTCACTTGGCCAATAAAGTTTTCTATTCTATTCTATTCTATTCTATTCTATTCTATTCTATTCTATTCTATTCTATTCTATTCTATTCTATTCTAAAGATAAGTTTGAAAAACAAATGCTAATCCTTGAAGCGATTGGTGGTGAGATTGAAATCAGATCAGTTCGATTCTTGATAAGTCTTTCCATTCTTTTAGTGTTGTAGCTGTTCAGAAATACTCCAAAGCGAACGTGCTTAAAGCAATAGAATCAGCCGAGACTGAACCTTGAAGTTGCCAATATGTTCACGAACCATCTCTCCTAACGATATTTTGATTTCTTTTCTGGAATCAGCTGCTGTTTCCAACATCGGAAATGCTACGAAGAGGCAACGGAAGAAGAATGCACCTGGGATCCTACCAAAATCATCATGAACGTCAGCTGTCTAACCAAAAACATCACTTGTGGTGAGTTTGAAGTAGCAAAGCACTACAAAATGGTCAGAGTATATTCACGGACTGGAATAGGGCATAGCAACAAGCCAGCCAATGGGGGACTGTTTGGTAACTGAAATATAGTATTTATTATATGGGACCATAAGGGACAGCAAGGAGCCTGGGCATGGCTTAACTGTTCTGTATATAAGCTTAAGGGCACTAGCTTCTCTCTTCTCCTCCATTTTATCTTCCCCATTTTGTGCTTCCATTTTGTGCTGTGTTTGCATTTGCTATTTCTCTTCTCTACAACGTGGTAAAACCTACAAGGGTATATTGTATGCCTTGTGTGTTGTTATGTATATAAAGACGTTTTGAATCCTGCTTAATAGGCTGTTTGTGTGTGCTGCAACCAACTCTGACAAAAACAACTTTTTATTCTGCTATTTTCTTTGGTTAGTAAAAGAAGTCATTTCCTGACCTGTATAGGTAGTCCTAAGCTTAGAACCATTCATTTAGTTTGAAGTTTTGAAACAAGTGTAATAGTAACAGAATTGGAAGGGACCTTGAAGGTCATCTAGTCGAACCCCCTGCTCACACAGGAGACCTATACTAGGGATTCGAACCGCCGAACTGCCTCTGGCACCACATCCTCTTCAGCCTCCTCGCTGCCCGACTCGAGCGCCAGCTGCACAGACTGCTGGTGCGATACCAGCCTCCTCGTCGTCAGGAGCAGCCACAATCCGTGCAGGCCGCTGGCAGGCCACAACACCTCTTGAGTTATTTCAACTTCTTGTTGAGGACACACCTGAATGTAATTCAAATACTTATTGTTCTGAAATGGAGGGGTCAATAAAATCAGCACCCATGACGATGTGACTGAAGCGATATCTTTTTTTTTGTTTTGACGTGTGTCGAGAGCTTCAATCACATCCTTGTGGTTCTTTTTTTTTTACTATATCCTGTGGACAGCTTTGCGGTGTTAAGAAGGAGTTCAAAGTCTTTTTATTCATTTCAGGGAAGACACACAGCAGCTCATGCAGAAAACCGAGTTATAGGCTCACAGAGTATCCTCCTATGGATAGCCTGGATTTCTTTGATGCAATCTTAACCATATCATGTTGCCCAGATTCCAAACATTTGGAAACTTTAGAAATTGGATAAGCTTTAAGTCCCAATGACTGGGATGCGGTGGCTCAGTGGCTATGACGCTGAGCTTGTCGATCGAAAGGTCGGCAGTTCAGCGGTTCGAATCCCTAGTGCCGCGTAACGGGGTGAGCTCCCGTGACTTGTCCCAGCTTCTGCCAACCTAGCAGTTTGAAAACATGTAAAAAATGCAAGTAGAAAAATAGGGACCACCTTTGGTGGGAAGGTAACAGCGTTCTGTGCGCCTTTGGCATTGAGTCATGCCGACCACATGACCATGAAGATGTCTTCGGACAGCGCTGGCTCTTCGGCTTTGAAACAGAGATGAGCACCACCCCCTAGAGTCGGGAACGACTAGCACATATGTGCAAGGGAAACCTTTACCTAAGTCCCAAAGTCCCTTTTATTAAAACTAACAGTTTAGTTCAAGAGTCAGGTACTATGAAAAGGATGACACTGTTTGTGCCATCCCTTACTTTACAAACTTAAGCATGTGAGATAAAATCAGGATACAATATTTATCATCTCACATTGTTCTTTTCTCGTTCTCTTACTGTTGACATCCCCGTTTCTGACTTTATTGCAAAATCACGAAACCTAGAATGAAAAAGAAATTTCCTAACAGTGAGAACAATTAATCAGAGGGAACAGCTTGCCTTCAGAAGCTTGTGGGTGCTCCATCACTGGAGGTTTTGAAGAAGAGATTAGACAATCATTTGTCTGAAATGGTATAGAGATTCCTGCTTGAGCAGGGGGTTGGACTAGAAGACCTCCAAGGTGCCTTCCAACTCTGTTGTGAAGAGAAAGACCAGGGGAGACAGATAGCGGTCTTCCAATATTTGAGGGACTGCCATAGAGAGGAGGGGGTCAAGCCATTTTCCAAGGCACCCAAAGGCCAGAAAAGGAAGAATGGATGGAAACTGATCAAGGAGAGATTCAACCTGGAAATAAGGAGAAAATTTCTGACAGTGAGAACAATCAACCAATGGAACAGAAGGAAGTTCCACTTGGGAAATTGTGGGAGCTTCATTACTTGAGACTTTCAAGAAGAGATTGGACTGCCATTTGTCAGAAATGGTGTAGGGTATCTTGCCTGTGGGGGGATGTACTATTTATTTATTTATTTATTTATTTATTTATTTATTTATTTATTTATTTATTTATTTATTTATTTATTTATTTATTTATTTATTTATTTATTTAATTCAATTTGTATACCGCCCTTCTCCTAGTGGACTCAGGGCGATGCACAGCCAGAACTAAAACACATACTAATACAAAATTTAAAATTTTTAAAAGAGTTACATGACTTTGGCCCAAAATTTAAAACATTCAAACTAAAACCCATTGACAATTTAAAAAGCTAAAAATGACCTACTAGATGATCTACAAGGTCCCTTCCAACTCTGTTAATCTGTAATCATCTGTAATTCTATTATTATTCAGAGAAGCTTCTGAATTTTATTACTACCATTCTAGAATTTATTTATTTATTTTTAAAATTTTTATACCGCCCCCTTTCCCGAAGGACTCGGGGCAGTGAACAGCCAAAATTAAAAACACACAATACAAACATTAAAATACTATAAAATGAAATTAAATTTATCTTTGGCTTCCCCAATTTAAAACCCCTTACCCATAAAATTCCCCAATTAAAAGATTTTGAACATTCTTCCCAACAGTTCAACTCTTGGAGGGGAGGAAAAAGCATTTTACAAAAAAGATGAATTTTCTATTGTGTTCAAATGACTTCTTGCTGTGAAATGGAACTCAATCCTGCTTTCCTCCTGCGGTGATGAACTGTGTCTGGACCCAGGATATAAATAAAATGTAACTCTCTGGGTCAAAACCTTACAGAGAGTCAGCAGATTATAGCAAAAAACATCTCAAGCCAACTTTGTAAACAGGCTTTTCACTCTCTCTCTTTTTTTACATGCTGTTTTTTTCTTTTTCCTTTTTCCCCAGGATCTGAGGATTCTTGCGAGCATTTGCTCTGCAACTGTGACAGAGAAGCTATTGAATGTTTCTTGCATTCTCCCATTAACTCTTCCTTGAATAATTTTGATGCTTCCCTCTGCTCCTCTCTGGAGACAGGTGAGAAAATTGGGGGAAATCTCTCAGTTCTTCGTTCCTCTTCTGATCCTTCATTTCCTTGCTCGGTAAATTCGTCTTATTCCTTTGAAGGTGCCACATGTTGAAGAAACAAATGAATGTCGTCTGATTTTACCTCATGCAAGAGTTATCCTAAGGCAGGGCTTGCCAATCTTGGCAACTTCAAGATGTGTGAACTTCAACTCCCAGAATTCCCCAGCCATGTTGACTGGAGAATTCTGGGAGTTGAAGTCCATACGTCTTCTCAAGATCGGCAAACCCTTGCCTAAAGGGAGTTTTGACACTCTTTTCTGGAGAGTTTATATAGTACATCGTGCTTGGTTACAATAAATCCTGGTTTCCAAAGTACTAAAAAATTTGGCTTAATGTTGAGTATAGGCCAGGGGTGGGCTGCTGGGGGTTCGCACGGGTTTGGGCAATCCTCTAGCTAGTATTCTGCCCAGTTCGGCGAACCCTCAAATCCCACACCTAACTGGCCCCGCCCCTCCCCACTCACCCCTCCCCGCCCCTCCCTGCCCGACCCCTTCCACTGCTCCCCGCCCCTCCCAGGAGTGTCCATGCAGCCTGTTTTGGATGCCATGTAAATACAGGGCTCGCGCAGAGGCCCTCCCTTGGAAGTTCCAGAAGGCCGGAAACGGACCTCCGGAAGGCCAGGGAGGCCGTTTTTGCCCTCCTGGAGACTCCAGGAAAGCCTCCAGAGCCTGGGGAGGGCGAACCCCCCCCCCCCACCATGGTGCAGGAGGCTGAGTAGGCCAGGCCCACCATGGCCATGCCCACCCAGCAACGGGGCAGCGAACCCGTTGCTGAGATTTTTGAAGCCCACGCCTGGTATAGGCCCCATACCACAAAGAGTACCAACCCTTGCCTCCATGGCATAATGACACTTCTCTTTGCTCCTTTTATTTTTATGTTATTATTTTTATTTTTCAAATTTATATGCCGCCCTTCTCCCATAGGACTCGGGGTGGCTCACAAAATAAAAACAACACAACAATCCAAATACTAAAAATTAGTCAATTTAAAACCCCCAAACAATTAAAAACCCCACAGCAGATCAGGGAATTTGCTGAAAAAGCCATGTCTTCAGTTCAGCGCAGAAAGTGCGGAGATCAGGGGCTGTCCGGAGCCCGGGGAGTAACCCATTCCAGAGGGTCGGTGCAGCCACAGAGAATGCCCTCATCCTGGGGGCCGTCAGCCGACATTGTCTGGCACTCTCTGGCGACCCTCCTCCCCCTCCTCCTCTCAGGATGCCCGGGACAGGTGTGGCTGAGCCGGGAGCTGCGCAAGGGCTGGGAGACCCTTCTCAAATGAGCGCCAAAACTCAGGAAAGGCGCCTGAGGGTCAGGCAGTGGCTCGCTTAAGGAGGGTCTCTCCATGCATGCTCACACTCAGCCACAGCCGGCCCCGGGCTTATGAAAGGAGGAGGGGGGAAGAGTGCAGGAGAGAAGCTGCCCTGGACCTGCCTTAGCACCACATTTGCCCGTAAGGCAGCCTTTGCTTCCTGCCGCTTCGGGCTGGAGTCCAAAACAGAAATAAGAGGGGCGGGGCGGGGCAAATCAGTGATGGGACAGGGAGCCATGGCAGAGGGCCTAAAGAGCCGCTTGTGGCTCCTGAGCCACGGGTTGCCGACCTCTGTGCTTTTAAAGGCATGAATTAGGAAAGGAATCTGATATGTGTTGTAATCACAGTATGCTCGGTGGTGTAGTGGTTAGAGTGCAATACTGCAGGCTACTTCTGCTGCCTGCCATCTGCCTGCAGTTCCGCAGTTCAAATCTGACCGGCTCAAGGTTGACTCAGCCTTCCATCCTTCCAAGGTGGGTAAAACGAGGACCCAGATTGTTGGGGGCAATAGGCTGACTCTATAAACCGCTTCGAGAGGGGTGTAAAAGCACTGTGAAGCAGTATATAAGTCTAAGTGCTATTGCTATTGCTATGCTACATGTGCTCTATATACATGCGATAATTTCCTGTGATATGATATATGCACAATCATATGATGCATTTATATTACTAGCCACCTGTTCCCTGTCAGCATTTCAATGCTGGCATAGAGAGCAGAGGAGAGCGAGAGATAAACTCTGAAACTTTTGCCTGCTAAATCCCTTTGAAGTCTGGTTGTCGTGGAAATGAGGGGAGGGGGCACATTCCTGGGAAATGATGAGAAAAAGAAGTCTGAAGAATGACTTGGAAGATAGCCAATGAGAAGCAGAGATTTGGGGATCGGAAAGGGAGGGATTGGGGGGCAAAAGGTCAGTCTTGTCCGTGCAGAGTCATGATCCGGTGGCTGTGCTCAATTAAAGAAAGATTTCCTTAAAGATTGGCAGTTTGGAAATTCATTTAATTTTGAGATAGCATCGTAGTCTGACATTCCCTCTCTTTTCAGAAGCGTCAAGTGTGAAAGCTCTCACCACAGTTCCTGCTTCAGGTATGCATCATACCTACAGAATATTCATTTATTAAACATATTTGGTTTTCCCCCCTCCAATTTATAGGGCTACTTGATTCAAAATGACACTGGGCGGTTTGGGACAAATTTAAAGTCTGGTAAAAACCACAAAAACAAAGCAATTGGCAGTTGTGCACCATCACACCAAAAAACTCTTGAAACCTCTCTTAGCGGTGCCCATAGGAAGAGACTGGTCTTCAGTCTCTTTTAAAGGACCACCATGATGGAAAATGTTTTCTTTTTGGTTCCCATCAGGTGACATTGACATTGACAACTTTCCTGAAACATAGTTTACTTGTCAGTACACAGATTTGCATCAGCTGAAGAAGTTGTAAAAAAATGCTTTTAAAAGAAAAAAAAAAGCCTCTGACGATCAGGCAACTCAGCTGGAATCGTCAGAGCCTTTTAAAAGCATTTTGTTTACAACCTCTTTGGCCGAAGAGGTTGTAGAAAAAATGCCTTTAAAAGGTAAAAAAAAAAAAGCCTCTGACGATCACAGCTGAGCAGCGCGATCGTCAGAGGCTTTTTTAAAAAAAACTTTTAAAAGCAATGCTTTTAAAAGTAAAAAAAAAGATTGCGCGCCACAGCTGATCTTCCCCCCCGCGCACTGTTCTACTTACCGCACGCCTCATTTTGGCATGCACTGCGTGCGCACCTCACATTTGGTGTACAGTGCGCACTGCACATGTGCAGCCAGCGAACCGGAGTAAACCGGTTCAGATTTCACCACTGCCCTGAGGTCAAACACACTGAGGGCCTGATGAGGCCCTCAATGAAATCGAGTTTGACACCGCTGCCTTAGATGTTTAGAGATTGGCTGATATGGTTAAGAATTTTAAAGGCCTGTTGTTGTTGTTTTTTTAAAAAGAAAGAATAAAGTGTCTCTTTGCCAAGTCTGTTTTAGCAGAGCAGTATTGATTTCTGGGCTGCAGGAAAAAAAACAAACAAAATCCCAAACTTAAAGAATACTGTTCTTTTAATTTTTTTTTCCTGCAGAGCTTCAACACCTGAGGACCAAAGAAACTCAGTTAACAGATATGATCCTGGCAGATGGTTAGTGCCTGTCCTTCTCCTCACCTTGTTTCATGTTCCCCTTATGAGAATGGACGCTTTTTTCTCAAGTTAAGAGATTGTTCAGCCAGGAAACAAAAGGGGGTCTATAATACTATCAATTAAGGAAATACACATAGATTTTTATATACTTCCTTTTTTCAAAAGACTTGGCAGAATTCCTCTTTTGTAGAAGCGATGAAGCTCCTAAAATTGAAGTTCCAGGATGATCAGGTTTACAAATGGCTGCCAAGCTGGGCGAGATAGACAAGACCTTATAAACAGATGTAAAATTCTATTCTAAATGGACAGGTGATCCTGGCAGCTTAACATTTTGACTCAGTCAAAAAGAACAGGACGAAAACAGTGGTGAAATCCAATTTTTTTTTACTACTGGTGCTGTGGGCGTGGCTTGGTGGGCATGGCAGGGGAAGGATATTGCAAAATCTCCATTCCCACCCCACTCCAGGGGAAGGATACTGCAAAATCCCCATTCCCTCCACACTCTTGGAGGAAGGATATTGTAAAATCTCCATTCCGATCCCACTCTGGGGCCAGCCAGAGGTGGTATTTGCTGGTTCTCCAAACTACTCAAAATTTTCACTGCCGGTTCTCCAGAACCTATCAGAACCTGCTAGATTTCACCCCTGGATGAAACCTAACAGGGACTATTACAAAGTTCTTTATTTACCAACAAATAAGGAATTATGCATTAATGGTAGATAGATTTTAATATATTATATTTCTTTATCATTCCCTATCTACCTTAATGGCAACAATTTACGGTACATGGATTATTTTAAAGTTGTTTTATTGCTTCCCCGCCCCCCAAAACCTGATTGTCAACTCCTTTGAATATTTTACAGAGACAAATAAATGTGTAGAGAAGTCGAATGTATAGGTGTAGTGTGGGGAATACTGCATATGGGTTATTCATAATACATGTGGAAAAAAAATTGGATCACAAGGTGATATGAATCCACAGGGGCATATATTGTGACCCAGTTTAGGGGTGAAGGTGTTGACCTAGAAACCAGGAGACTGTGAATTCTAGCCCACCTTAAGCATGAAAGCCGGTGGGTGACTTTGGGCCAATCACCAGGAGACTGTGGTTCTAGTCCCACCTTAGGGCATGAAAGCCGGTGGGTGACTTTGGGCCAATCACCAGGAGACTGTGAGTTCTAGTCCCACCTTAGGCATGAAAGCCAGCTGGGTGGCTTTGGGCCAATCACCAGGAGATGGTGAGTTCTAGTCCCATATAAGGCATGAAAGGGATTGACCAAGTACAGCCAGCATTTGTTGATGCAACATGTTACAAATTAGAAAGACAATTGTTTTTTTTGGACTGACACATCGCATGAAGTTTCAGAACAATCAGATCATTTATTCCCTCAAACAATTGTATTCGGTTCCCTTTTGGGCTTCTGATACACATGCTGGACAGTGATGGAGAGAGTTGAGTAGAAATGTGCTGCAAAATTTCAGACAGCACACAGCTTTTCATCTAGCATCAGAGCAAAAATAGCTCGCTGCCTGGAGAAAAACCTTTTTTGTTCTCTTTTTTAAATGGGATTATAGTTGGTGAGGATTCAGGCAGAGAGAGTACTGAGGTTCAAGTTTTAAAATGTTTCTGTAGGTGGCTAATCTGATTATGCTGGAAACTCAGATGCTTCTATCTAGTGAAAAGCTATAATTGTCATGGCTGACATTTTCATTAAAATGTCGTTAAGAATAAGGCTTGCATGATCTCACAAGGATATCCTGTTTTATTACCTATCTATCTTATAGTTATTCCCCAAATCCACCACTGGCCCAGCTGTAATGATTTCGGGAGCTGAGCGTAAATCCATCAGTACTGCAATTATTATTATTGTTTAATCTGACTTGTTTAATAACGCCAATTCATTTGAAACGTTATTTGGGATAAACAGAATTATGGATTGTTTTGTGATCAAGTCTATACCCCTGTATTGATAGTCTTTTATTCCGAATAGTTACTGTAGAAGTGGAAAGCAACGGAAATACCGATTTCCAGAGAGGAAGAGAAGGAGGCGGAGGAGGTACAATATTTGTAAAAGTTCTGACGATTGCATTCTCATGAAAGTATGAGCTTGGTAATATATCCTGTAACTTTACTTAAAGGAAGGCTTTCAATACCCAAAAATCTATTATGATAATTCAGGGGCATCCATTGCTAGTTTGGTGTAGTACTAGCCTAGAAACCAGGTGACTGTGAGTTCTAGTCCCGACTTCGACATGAAATCTGTCTGAGTGACTTTGGGCCAATCATCAGGAAATTGAGAGTTCCACTCCCATTTTAGGCAAAAAAGTCACCCAGGTGACTTTGAGCCAAATGCCAGGTAACAGTGAGTTCTAGTCCCATCTTAGGTATGAAAGCCTGCTTGGTGACTTGGGAGCAATTACCAGGAGATGGTGAGTTTTAGTCTGGCCTTAGACATGAAAAGCTGATTAGGTGACTCTGAACCAGTCACTTTTTCTCAGCCCAGCCCATTTCACAAAGTTGTTGTTGTGGGAAAAATAGAAGGGGAAAGGAGCATTATTATACGGGTAACTGCCTTGAATTATCTATATAATAATAAAGGTAAAATAAAAATCTAAAAAATATTTATTATAATTGCCATATTGATTTTTTTGACCCTTACCCAAAAAATAATCCCCCATATCTATTATTTTTGCCATCCTAAACCATAACTTATCGAGGAAAAAATATGTGGGTTTTTTCTTCTACCTTCAAAATGATGCTATAGGGCACTGCATGCCAGAACAACTAGACACAAAGACAATTTCCCCCCATGTCTCTGCTAAACAACTAATTCCCACAACACTGTCAAACTATCTAGTAAGGCTGTAATCTATTATTCTTCTCATCTTTCCTATCTCATGATCTTCTTTTGACTATAATTTTGTTGCTTATAGCTTATGATTTATATTGTTTACTTAGTATCCTAGTATGATTTATATTGATTGCTTATTTAGTATCCTGTGACAATCACTGTGTTGTATCTTATGATTTGTGATGAATGTATTTTTACAATGACTATGATCGTGATTTATCTCTCGTCCTCCTCCTCTTCTTCTTCTTCTTCTTCTTCTTCTTCTTCTTCTTCTTCTTCTTCCTCCTCCTCCTCCTCTTCTCCTCCTCCTCCTCCTCCTCCTCCTCCTCCTCCTCCTCCTCCTCCTCCTCAATTCTTTATTCAAAAAATAACTTCTGTTAATTCTTGGAGTAAGTTACAAAACAGGATTTGTCACAGAATCTATTTTTTGTTCCTTGACAGATGTTCCTCAAGAGTTCAGTGACCTGACTCTGAACAACCATGAAAGATGTAAGTTAATACATTCTTCTGGACAGGTGCAACTGTTGTCTCCTTGAAATTCTTAGATTTCTAGAATAACCAAAGACATGATGGATAATGAACCCTTTGATTAAATTTTTCTTCTTTACATTGGCACAGTGAGATGCAGATGGCTGAGCAGCATTTGAATGTAGATTTTTCCACACTTAGTCCCTCCTTCAATAGACCAGGACATCTCAATGAACCTTAGCTAATACAGGTTGTCCTCAACTTACAACAGTTCACTTAGTGACTGTACAAAGTTATAACAGCACTGAAAAAAGTGACTTAGGACCATTTTTCACATTTATGACCTTTGTAGCATACCCATGATCACAGGAACAAAACTCAGATGCTTGGAAACTAGTTCATACTCATGACCATTGCTGTGTCTCATGGTCATGGGATCACCTTTTGCAACCTTCTGACAAGCAAAGTCAACAGGGAAACCTGATTCACTTAACAACCGGGTTACTAACTTATCAACTGCAGCGATTCACTTGACAACGGTGGCAAGATCTATCATGTAGATCAGTGATGGCTAACCTTTTTGCCGTCATGTGCCAAAAGCGTGGAGAGCGTGGGGGAATCACACGTGTACGTGCCCATACTCATAATTCAATGTTCCCCATGCCACGCCCCCCGCACATGCGTGCGTGACCCCCCCCCATGCTCCCTGCGCTCTACAGGCTCTCTTGGAGCCTGGGGAGGGTGAAAACGGCCTTCCCCACTCCCCCAAAGACCCTCTGGAGGCCAAAAATGGCCCATTTCCTGACAGCCAGAAGGTCTGTTTTTCTCTCTCCCCAGGCTCCAGAGGCTTTCTAGGAGCCTGGGGAGGGCGAAAACGGCCTTCCTCACCCTCCTGGAGGCCTGAAACAGACCATTTCCTGATTTCCAGTGGGCCCAGAAGGCCCTTTTTTCACTCTCCCCAGGCTCCAGAGGTTTTCTAGGAGCCTGGGTAGGGCAAAAACAGACTTCTGCACCCCCAGAGGCCCTCCGGATGCTGGAAACAGCCCGTTTCTTGACTTCTGGTGGGCCCGGAAGGCCTGAAAATCAGCTGGCATGCGCTGGAGCTGAGCTAGGGCAATGCTCACGTGCCCACAAATATGGCTCACCATATTACGTGCCATAGGTTCACCATCATTGATATAGATCAAATATGTAGATACTCAGGAGAAGAAAGTGGAAAGGCTGGTGAGGAATCCTGTTCGAGGTAGATCCCTTTGGTCCATAGCTAAAAACTGATGCACCTTGATCCATGATTGAGATTCATACTGAAGCAACATTTTCATCACTTGATCCCTGAGAGGCCTGTGATGGCCTTTGGTCTACTTTAGAAGTACACAGAAGTTCCAATCTTTCACCATCTGCTCTGAAACAAAAATTCTCTTAAGACAGTGGTTCTCCATCTGTCATCTGCAGGCCCCCAATGTCCTCACAGGGGGTCGACGAAGGGCTTGAAGAAATGTTATGATTTAAATCTTGAGTTAAGTCTTGGTGATCCGTGGCCACACAAGGTATTTAAAGGGGGTCTATGGTGAAGAAAAGGTTGAGAATCATTGCTCTAAGAAATTTCATCTTGAGATAGACTTCACTCCTCATATGGCTTCCTTCAAATCCATAGATATTTGTTATAAATTATTTGATGATTTGATGCTTGTTTACTAGGAGGAATCCATGGACATTTTTAACGCCCAACGTATCTGTTTTTCTTTCAGTTTCTTCAGATGTTGAAAGCAGTGGAGTCCTTGAAACCTTCAGAGGAGGGGGTACTGTATAGGTCTTCATATTTCATTATGAAAACATATAGAAAATGTACTTTAACATACTGTAACAGCATTGCCAAAAAGGCATTAAGAGTTGTTAATCTAATTTTGCAAAGCTTCTTCTCCGGTAATATTGTATTGCAAACTAGGGCAAACAAAACCTTTGCTAGACCAATTCTCAAATACAACTCATCTGTCTGGAACCCACACTGCATATCAGACATAAATACAATTGAGAGAGTCCAGAGATATTTCACAAGAAGTGTCCTCCAGTCCTCTACCCGCAATAGAATACCCTATGCCACCAGGTTTGAAATTTTGGGCTTAGATAACTTAGAACGACGCCGCCTTTGGTCTGACCTAAGCATAGTACATAAAATTATCTGCTATAACATCCTACCTATCAATGACTACTTCAGCTTCAACCGCAACAACACATGAGCACACAATAGATACAAACTTAAGGTAAACCACTCCAAACTCGATTGCAGAAAATACGACTTCAGCATCAGAGTGATCAATGCCTGGAATACATTACCTGACTCTGTAGTTTCTTCTCCAAACCCCCATAACTTTAACCTTAGACTGTCTACTCCATTCCTAAGAGGTCTGTAAGGGGCGTGCATAAGTGCACCAGCGTGCCTACCGTCCCTGTCCTACTGTTCCCATTTATTCGTATCCATTTCCTGTATTCATAATTGTGTTTAGACTTATATCTGTTATCTTATACATGCTTGACAAATAAAATAAATGAATAAATAAATAAAACTTCAACATGGGGTGAACCATAAGCCATTTCAGGAAGCACCATTTTTTTTTCAACACCCAAATGGTCCTAGCCTTGCCTAAGGGACAAATGTGGTTCAAAACAAATATCTTATTCAAATATAATAAATTCTTGTATTTAGTGAGAGGTCATGGGGGACTTCCTTCCTTCCTTCCTTCCTTCCTTCCTTCCTTCCTTCCTTCCTTCCTTCTTTCCTTCCTTCCTTCCTCCTTCCTTTCCTCTTTCTTTCTTCCTTCCTTCTTTCCTTCTTCCCTTCCTCCTTCCTTCCTTCCTTTTCCTTTCTTTTTCCCCTGTAGTTTTCTTGGCCATTTCTGGAAGTGATAGAAGTTTGCTTCAGCTCATTCTGTTAAGCATCAAATTTCTGTTTTCATCATCTGTAAAAAGGAAGTAATAGAAAAGGTATTTGATTGCTTAGAGAGGCATGTTTTGAAATTTTCCTGATCAAGGAAATTACAAAAACCATAAACATTATATGATATGGTAACACAAACTTTTCTTGTGTATGTTGCTTTATAGCTGTAACCCAGAAAGATGCAACTGTTGCTTTTGATAATTCAGAACTAAGAGGTAAGGTGGTACTTGCTGTTTGTTCCCAGGGTGAACAAGTCTTCAAGTCTGCTGTGGAAAGTATTTGCTTAATTTACATTTATTGGAAACACATGTCTTCCTTTTATCCTGGCCTTTAAAAAGGGTGTAGTTGAAAGTAACCTGGCTTGCAAAGGCTTTTATGCCATGAGTGACCTTGCTAGGAGTATATACATATCTTACATCCAACACTTCCTCCTAACAGGTGTATCCCCCCCCCAAACCTCCCACCCAGTAGTGAAATTCAAAATTTTTCCCTACCGGTTCTGTGGGCATGGCTTGATGGGCATGGCTTGGTGGTCATGTGACTGGGTGGGCATGGCTTGATGGTCATGTGACTGGGAAAACCAACTATCACACTGTACACAAAAATAACACAAAAGCTACACAACTGACTCACACACAATGCAAAAGCAGCTGGAGTTCACACAAAATGGCCCCTGCAACAAGCAGGAACCTCACAGAGAGCTCAAAAACAAACTATCGCACTTTACACAAAAATACCGGTTTGGGCAATAGGTAATAAAAAATGCTTTAAAAAGTAAAAAAAAAAAAAAAGTTCTGACCATTGCACGGCACAGCTTATTGTCACAGCTAATTGTCGCAACCTATTGCCCGAACCGGTAGTAAAAAAATGCTAAAAAAATCAACAAAAAGTTCAGACGATCAGCTGTGCCGCGCTATCGTGGGAGCTTTTTAAAACTTTTTAAAGCATTATTTTATTACTGGTTCCCGTGAACCAGTAGCATTTTCACTACCGGTTCGCGCGAAGTGCCCCGAACCGGTAGTATTTCACCTCTGCTCCCACCTGATAAGGCAATATAGCAAGATTTGGGAGATTGAGTGGGGGAAAAACATATTTATACTTGTCTTAAATTAATACAGATTCTAATGTCCTATTAAGAAGTAAAGGAACCTGAGATATTCCTCCTGGGCATGCTACCAGAAAAGTATAATAAGGGTAATACATATTTAATTTTACATATTTTAATAGCAGCCAGGATTGTATACGCACAATATTTGAAAAATGAATAAATCCCCACAGATGAGAATATAATCAAAAAAATAATGGAATGTGCAGAAATGGATAGGTTAATGTTAAAAATTAAAGATAAAGAACATTCTGAATATTTTATGACATGGGAACTTTTTTTAACAAACAGTTAGTCAATAGATACAGAGATCAGATGGATGGGTTTATATGAAATATGGATTATACGAGAAAGAAAAATTGATTAGTAAACGTTTTGATGCTTATATGATTGATGTTAATATGGAAGATAGTGTACTTTATAACAATGATTGATAGTATCTACTATATGTTTGTATGTTGATATGATTATAATGATTATGAGGTTGTTTAAATTTTAACACTTTTTTTTAACCTAGAAATGAATTTAGAAATGGAATTTGTGATATAAAAACAATAATTTAAAAAAAGGGAAAAAAAGAAAAAGTAAAGGAGTTAATTCTGCATCTTTCCCCAGGATTGTCAGAGAGCTATTTCACTACTATAAGAACTAGATCCACTTCACCTGGGATTAGCAAACCAGAAGCAGAATTCATGCCAACTTCAGAATTTCCAAGACCAGCAAACAGCGGCAAGTAAAATTCCTGTTGCCACAGGATTCATTAGAAAAAAAGTAAAAGTAGAATATATTTAGAAGAGATAACCAGACAACGTATAGAGATGAAGCCAGAAGTATTTTGTTTAGGAATATTTCCAGGGATATATGACAACAACAACAACAAAAAAAATTACAATACTTAATTATACATATTACAACAGCGGAAAGAATAATATATGCACAAAACTGGAAAAATAATAATACACCTACACCAACAGAAGAAAATTTGATTAGAAAGGTTTTGGAGAGCGCAGAGGTGGACAAGCTCACAAAGAAATACAAGAAAAGGAGGAAACAGAATACTATATGGCAGTGGTGAAATCCATTTTTTTTTGCTACCGATTCTGTGGGCGTGGCTTGGTGGGCGTGGCAGGGGAAGGATACTGCAAAATCTCCATTCCCACCCCACTCTAGGGGAAGGATACTGCAAAATCCCCATTCCCTCCCCACTCTGGGGCCAGCCAGAGGTGGTATTTGCCGGTTCTCTGAACTACTCAAAATTTTCACTACCGGTTCTCCAGAACCTGTCAGAACCTGCTGGATTTCACCCCTGCTATATGGTATGGGAGAAATAGTATGGATGGTTAGAGGAGAGGAATAAAGGGCAAGGAAAGAGTAAATGAGGAAGATATAGGAGCTGAAATGTAGTTACAAACAAGTGGAAATGGAACGGACACAGAATGTATGATTGAAATTGAGTATGTTGTTATCTTTATGTATATAAATCAATATTAGAATCGTATGTATAAATGGTAAATTGAAGTAAGGGAGAAAAATGGATACGTAAGAAATGTTGACTGATGCGAAAATGTTGAAAAGAAGAAAATTGCAAAAATTTCTTTTTTTGTTTTCAAAAAAACCTGTTTAATAAAAATTACATATATATAAACAAAGAGAAAAATAGGCAGTGCAAGACATCTGTGTCTGTATGTTTAAAGTGCGCCTCTAGTTTTTATTTATCATCATTATCATTCTAGCTTTTGTCTATTCACGGCAGGATGGAGAAGGCCTTTTCTGCACCAATACTTTTTATATATAAGACACTTATTTAAAGTGAGATTCATGGAAGGATGGCACAGGGTTTTGATTATTTTTTTTTCATTCAAGAACGCTACAGGATTCGGCTCTGTTTTTGTTTTCTTTAATAGATGTTAGGTCCACTGCAGAGGTGGTATTCAGCCGGTTCACTGGAACCGGTAGGAGAAATCGTGGATGGGTCTGCCTACCTGCTCCAGCTCTATGCCATCCCATTTAGTTACATTTGTGAGGTTGGGCGAATGCGTGGAAGGCACGCGCACCAGCAAAGCATATGTGCGGCAGGCCGGATGCATGTGTGCATGGGGTGCATGTGACCAAAGCATGCATACTCACATTTGCAAACCGGTAGGGAAGGTAAGTGAATACCACCCCTGGTCCACTGAATCTAAAAAGGCATCTTTGTAACCCAAAATCCAGGACATCTCTTCAAGATCGCTGGGGAGGAACCTGTGACATTTTCTACGATGATTCCAGAAGCGTCACCACCTCCTGAAGACTCTTTTAGAGAAGGTATGAAATGCTTTCACTCAACCCAATAATTTCACTGGAAGAAAAGAGAGGAGACCTACAAAACAGTTAGTTTGAGAGTTAGTTGAGTGTTGTACATGAAAGAAAAAATGTAAATAGAAAAGAAGTGTATTAATTCTTCAAGAGGTGTAAAAAAAACCTCCCTTTCATGACTCTGGAATCCCTTAATTCGGGGTAGAGTTGTGGCGATTGGTTGCAGCTGAGCATTTATTAGCTGGATGCCCTCCCTGACACCATGCGGAGTTCACAGCAGATATTTTCTCGTTGTGCCCTAACAGAGAAACCTCTGCCACGATCTAGGATTGAACTCTCAACTTTCTGAGTGGGAGGCAAGCGCCTTCACCACTAGGCCACCACGCTGCTCCTTTAGGAGATACCTTGGGTTTAATTGTTATTTTTTTAATAGCACACAGAAGTTATATCAACAACTGCCATTTGCTAGTGGAATGGACAGTTCCAGAAAAATGGGTCCTTTATCCCAATTCAGCCTTATCTTTCTGATGCCCAGATCTTCTCTAGATGGTTGGAAGATAAAGGGGAGAAAATCTGAGGAATATGAGAGATGCAGCAGAAAAGGGAATTCTGTAGTCATCTGTATATATACTCAACCAAATAAAACTGTGAAACGCGTATCTCCTTTCCTCAGTCTGTGATCGTTTCTCCTTCCTGCAACGGGGCGAGAACGGAAAACTCAAACAAGAGTTTCCACAGTTGGGTGAGATGCTCTACTGCTTGACTGACCACTGTCCAGAGGAGTTCGAATTATATGGCTGCTTTTGTGGACAAGAGGGAAGAGGACATCCGACGGATGAACTTGACAGGTGGGTAACATTAAAAGCAAAACAAAGGAATCGCCTATGCTCCTAGAGCAGCATGCATTTGGTTAACTTAATTCTTCTATCCAGGCATGTGGGCCCTAAATCAATATTTGCGGTTAACAATAAAATAAAATGAACCAGAGGGGAAAAAAAATCTTCCCCCGTTTCTGCTCAGCAAGAGGTAGGATTGCTGCCTACTTCTTGCTGAGGATATTAGGGTAGGATATTAGATATTATGTACCACATGTGCCAATACTGATGTATTCAATTTAATCATTATGTAGCATGTATTCAATATGTTACATTGATGTATTTCCATTGTGTTTATTGTTTATTTTCTTCTATTATTATTATACTACTCTTCCTCTCTCCCTCCCTCCCTCCTTCCTCCCTCCCTCCTCTCTTTCTCTCCCTCCGTTCTTCTTCCCTCCCTTCTCTCTCCCTCCCTTCTCTCTTTCTCTCCTCCCTCCCTTCTCTCCCTCTCCCTTCTCTTTCTCTCCTTCCTTGTTTCCTTCCTTCCTCCCTCCCCCCTCCATCCCTTCTCTCTTTCTCTCCTCCCTCCCTTCTCTCTCCCCCTTTCTCTTTTTCTCTCCTTATTTCCTTCCTTCTTCTTCCTTCTTCCTCCCTCCCTCCCTCCCTTCTCTTTCTCCTTCCATCTTTCCTTCCTTCCTTCCTCCTCCCTCCCTCCCTCCTATAAATAGATAAATAGATAGATAAATAAGATAAATAGATAAATAGATAAACAGATAAATAGATAAATAGATACTGCTTTCTGGGTTCTACTAGTTGCGTTGCTGAAGCAACAGGATCCAGATGGTACCAACTCTGTCAGATCTCAAACGATGGGCAGTAATCATAGAGAGAGAGAGGGAAATGGTCCTCTTTGCCCCTCACCTCCTCTTGTGGCTGGCTCTGCTTCCAGCCCATGTCCCATCGTTGACCTGAACCAGATGATATGATAAAGCAAGAGAGAAAATAGTTTTCAAAATATGATACCAGCAAGGTTTATACCAATGTAAGGAACGCTGCAATCCATGTAGGTAGAAAATGGTGTCGAAGCGTTAATTCTCTTATCCTTTCCATCTAACAGATGCTGTTTCTCCCATCAATGCTGCCTGGAACAAGTTAAAAGACTGGGATGTCAACCAGAAAAAAAATCAAGATCTGAAGTTGTGTGTTTTGATCACACACCAACATGTAAGTTTTGAGAGGGCGGTGTCCAAGAATCAACTCTTTCTTAAGTGAAATATTTTTAAAAGAAAAAAAAAATCACTTTTCTCTCCAGTAAATATAGGAAATTATTTGGAAATATACTTTCCTATATTTCCAAATCATGGAAAGGATTTTAACAGAGTTAGAATTGAATCAGATCTTTAGAAATTCATCTCCCCAATCCATAATGAATGTATATTTTGGAGGGGTGCGAGTATCAAATTTGTCAAAACCAAATACTGTAATCAATTGGAATCCTTGGTGCTCTGAGTTTAGTTGTTTGATTACAGACGTTTCATTACCCAATTAGGTAACATCTAGTTGGTGAAATCCAACATTTTTTACTACTGGTTCTGTGGGCATGGTTTGGTGGGCATGGCAGGGGAAGGATACTGCAAAATCTCCATTCCCACCCCACTCCAGGGGAAGGATAATGCAAAATCCCCATTCCCTCCTCACTCCTGGGGAAGGATACTGCAAAATCTCCATTCCCCCGCCCCAGTCTGGGGCCAGCCAGAGGTGGCATTTGCCGGTTCTCTGAACTACTCAAATTTTCCTCTGCTGGTTCTCCAGAACCTGTCATAACCTGCTGGATTTCACCCCTGATCTTAGTGCTCCCTTCTAGAACTCAGAGGTTAGTTGGGATTGTCTGATGTTTATTATACAGCTGGCTTGCCTTGTTAGTGTTTGTGGGAATCTGCTTTTTCTTCATTCCTTCATTCTTAGTAGTTCTTTGAATGATCGTGTCTTGTCTCTATAACATGCACTGCATACTCTTAAAAAGAGGTGGGGGCTTTGATTGCCAATAGCCAATAGCAGAGATTATTTGTAGGTCAGGGCAGAAATGAGGGGGTCCTTGGTGCTCTCTGAGCTTGGTGGGCTTTTTTTGCAGATGCTCCATTACCCCATTATATATAGTAGTGGCCAAAATTGTGGAAACCTTTTGGGAAAGTGTATTTTTGAGGTTTGATGGCTAATAACACCACTTTTTTTTGGAGTTTCAAGATAATCCTATTCCACTGCTGGAATGGCCTGGGAATAGCCCAGACTTTAACCCAATTGAAAATCTACGGAGCCGACTAAAGAAACTTGTTAATCAGAAGCGACCCAGCAATAAAATCCAGTTAATAGAAGCCATCATTCAATCTTGGTTTCACATTAGAACAGCTGCAGAACTAAAAGACTTGGTTCACTCCATGGGAAGACGTTGTAAGGTCATAATTCACGCTAAAGGTTACCCAACTAAGTATTAACTGACATAGTGATAATTTTTATATACAGTATCTCATTTTTTCTACATGTTTCACTTTTCTTCTTTGTACTGTAACTGCTATTCTAATAGCAAATCCTTCATAAAAGTTATTGCATTACATTCTTGATTAAATTGTGGGGGCAATAAGCTGACTTTGTATAAAATATACAAAAGTATGAAGGCTATTGCTTAACGCATTTTAAGCCGCCCTGAATCTCTGGAGAAGGGCGGCATATAAAAAATAAATAAAAATAAAAAAATAAATTATCTTTCCATTGATATATAATTTTATGGTACTACTCAGTGGTGGGATTCAGCCAGTTCGCACCACTTTGGGAGAACCGATTGTTAACTTTCTGAGCAGTTTGGCAAACTGGTTGTTGGAAGAAATCATTAGGGCAGAGAACCGGTTGTTAAATTACTTGAATCCCATCACTGGTACTACTCCAAAAAAAAAAAAGTGGTGCTATTAGCTACTTTTAGTAAATACACTTTTCCCAAAAGGTTTCCACAATTTTGGCCACTACTGTAGTGAAATGTTAGTGATGCTAGTACTGATAACGTTACCTAGTTGGGTAATGAAACATCTGCAAGAAAACAATGAAGCTTGGAGAGCATCAAAGATCTTGTCAAGGTTCCACTAACATAACCCGAAACCAAAGAACTCCGAGGCACGAGATCTCCCCAAAGAACATTTTATTTGGGCATGTCACATTGGCACAATGCTGGTGAAAACCAGATCTATGTTCCCACCAGTTCTTCCCCCCTCAATTAAAAGTAAAAGTTTGTCACTTCCCCAGAGGTGTCAATCACACAGTCTAATCAGCATACAGTCCAGACGTGGGATGGTCTCAGTCTCCACCTTCAACCACCTGCACATACGACCTTGGTTCCCAGGGGAAACAATGTTGTTTTGGTTATAGCACCCCAGTGATCTCTACACCCCCCTCCCTATCCCTCATAACCAGTCTGTGTCAGCACTGAAGCTTTGAAGCAAAGAAAACCCCCCAGTAGAACAGGAAAATGGCCACCAGCCAGCCAGCTTCAGGGTTGACAGATCTCTTATTTGATTGCTTGGTTTGTACCTCCTGTTTGACATCATTGGCTCTCTACCCCATGGACTCTGTTGCTATGATGGTAAACACTTCCCACAATCATTTATTTATTTATTTTTAAAATTTTTATACCGCCCCCTCTCCCGAAGGACTTGAGGCGGTGAACAGCCAAAATTAAAAAAACATGCAATATAAACATTAAAATATACTATAAAACAAAATTAAATTTATCTTAGGCTTCCCCCAATTTAAAAACCCCTTACCCATAAAATTCACCAATTAAAAATTTTTTAAACCAGCCCGGCTTGCTGAAATAAAAATGTCTTCAGGGCCCGGCGGAAGGTCCGGAGGTCCGGGATCAGTCGTATTCGTAGGGGTAGCTCATTCCAGAGGGCAGGTGCCCCCACAGAGAAGGCTCTTCCCCAGGGGGGGGTGTCACCAGCCGGCATTGCCTGACCGACGGCACCCTGAGGAGGCCCTCTCTGTGGGAGCGTACTGGCCGGTGGGAGGTTATCGGTGGCAGAAGGTGGTCTCGTAAATAACCGGGCCCTAAGCCATGGAGCGCTTTGAAGATGAGAACCAATACCTTGAAGCGCACCCGGAAGACCACTGAAAGCCAACGCAGCTCGCGCAGGAGAGGTGTCACATGGGAGCGCCATGTCGCCCCCATAAGTACCTGCGCGGCCGCATTCTGCACCAGTTGGAGCCTCCGAGTGCTCCTCAAGGGGAGCCCCATGTAGAGAGCGTTGCAGTAGTCATGACCTTATTGTAGCCCCTGTGAGATTTGATGCAGAAGCTACTCTCCACCATCTTCTTTTCTCTCAGGTGTTGGATGGACCCTGTGTGAAAACCTCCTGTGTTCCTGCGATAAAGCTGCAGCCGAATGCATGGCTTCAGCCCCATTCAACGAAAGCTGGAGGTCGCCCAGCAGACAGGTTTGCCAAGAGGACACACTGGCTTGCCGTGGGGCGGGGCGTGAGAGGCCTCCGAGCAGCCCTCCCAGAGATGCCAGAACGTCTAGTGAAGAAGAAGAAAGTAGCAGCGAGGAGGCAGATCCAGCTCAGCCCCTCCTGAGACGCGGGAAAAGAGCAATACGGAATGGCAGGCGAAGATCCAGAATGGTCCCATTGCAAACAAGATAATCTCCACTTCTCTGTCCAGCTACAGATCTACTGGCAACGTTGTTCAAGAAGCAGCCAGTAGTGTATCTATCCTATATGGCTGTCCGGTCTTTTCTTAAAAGCCTCCAATGATGAAGCACCCACAACTTGTGAAGGCAAGTTATTCTAGTGATTAATTTTGTTCTCAGAGTTAGGAAATTTCTCCTCAGTGCCAGCAACTTTGTGGGTCATCCATCCATTGAGGCTTTTAAGAAGAGACTGGACAGCCGCTAGTCTGGAATGGTATAGGGTGTCCTGCTTGAGCAAGGGGTTTGATTAGAGTAGGGGTCTCCAACCTTGGCAACTTTAAGCCTGGAGGACTTCAACTCCCAGAATTCCTCATGGTGGAAGTTGAAGTCCTCCAGGCTTAAAGTTGCCAAGGTTGGAGACCCCTGGACTAGAGAACCTCCAAGGTCCCTTCCAACTCTGTTCTGTCTTAGAAGAACAACCGGTTGTAAATGTGGGAGATCTTCTACTTATAGGATGATCCCTATATATATCAATGGTGAGGAACCACAACACACCTTCTGGTTATACAGCCATAATACCTATTTCATTTTTAATCTCTTATGAGTAGGATGAAGGTTGTACAAAGATCAGGAGGAGCAGAGATGAAAAGTTCTAAGTGGTTTTCAATTCCATCACAGGTTTTCTAAATCTCTGTTTCTGGAACAAGCCACCATGAACAAGTTCATTGTTCCTAATCCTAATAAATAACTCTGCGCACAACGCTTAAACCAAAACGAACGTCTACTTGATATTATGGCTTATCATACCATGTAAATGAAAGTTCCTATTAAAAGCTTGACACTGCTTCTTCCTTTGTCCTTATTTTTAGGAACAAATTTACATTATGAAACAAGTGAAGTATGCTAACAATTCTTCTTCAGGGTTTGCTTTAATATCGGACGGGTTGAGCCCATGGATTATGAAACCTATTTTTTAAGAGAATGGCAAAGTAATCACGCCTGAATTTTCCTTGACTTAATTTCTGGCGTGGCCAATCATGCATTTGTAGCTTTAGATGTTTGGATTGCCTCAGAATCCTTACGATAAACTTCAATGGAGACATAATGGCCAAGAGTACAAACCAGTGGTGGGTTCTAAATTTTTTTACTACCGGTTCTGTGGGTGTGGCAGGTGGGCATGGCTTGGTGGCATGGGTGGGCTCTAAATTTTTTTACTACTGGTTCTGTGGGCGTGGCTTATATTGTGGGTGTGGCTTGGAGGTCATGTGACTAGGTGGGCGTGGCTAGCTGGTCAGAGTCATTTCTAGAAGGTCCTCGCACTTACCACCAGTCCTCGCTCTTACGACCCGACTCATTTGTTTGCTTTTAACACTGATCAGCTGTAGGACGGCCCTTTGAAGCCCCGTGGCAAGAGTTTAAACAGTTTTTTTCCCTCTAGTCATCAGCTGGGACTCAGGAGGCAGCAACAGATTGGGGGTGGGACCAAATAAAAGGTAAGAATAATGTGGGGGGGAGGGCGGGGGGGGAACCGGTTCGGTGACGTCATATCGTCACCGCTACTGGCTCGGCCGAACCGGACCGAACCGGGAGGAACCCACCACTGCTTGGTGGGCATGGCAGGGGAAGGGATACTGTAAAAGCTCCATTCCCTCCCCACTCCAGGGGAAGCTTACAGCAAAATCCCCATTTCCTCCCAATCAGATGGGACTCAGGAGGCAGAGAATAGATGGGGCGGGGCAAGTCAGAGGTGGTATTTACCGGTTCTCCGAACTACTCAAAATTTCCACTACCGGTTCTCCAGAACTTGTCAGAACCTGCTGAAACCCACCTCTGGTACAAACTGATGTTCTGCCTGAGCAGGGAGTTGGACTAAAAGACCTCCAAGGTCTTTTCCAACTATTATTCTGTTAATTACTGCTAATACAAGAAAGAACAGTTAATATACTGTTTGCTTCCAAGTTGCATTAACAGTGGGATACAATGAAGATCAAGTGAGGTACTAATACCACTCTATAAAGCCTTAGTAAGTCCACATCTAGAGTACTGCATCCAGTTTTGGTCACCACACTATAAAAAAGATGTTGAGGCTCTAGAAAGAGTGCAGAGAAGAGCAACCAGGATGATTAGGGGACTGGAGACTAAAACATATGAAGAACGATTGCAGGAACTGGACATGGCTAGTTAGTGAAGAGAAGGACCAGGGAAGACATGATAGCAGTCTTTCAATATTTGAGGGGCTGCCACAGAGAGGAAGGGGCCAAGCTATTTTCTAAAGCACCTGAAGGCCAGACAAGGAATAATGGATGGAAACTGAACAAGGAGAGTGTTGCAATATTTTCAGGATCAGACTCAATAAAGATAATAGGAGTTAGAGCTTTAAATATATTTTCTTTTAATTATGATAGGCATTCTATATTCACTGAATATTCAAGGTAGAAGCAACGAGAATGGTGAGGGTGGCTCCTTATATATACAAGGGGTGGAGCTAGGAATGGGAGTGGTAAGTTATGAATACATTAAAATCCAAAGAATAGTTAACCTCTGATGTTCCATATATACATTATTTACACATTGGAGAATAAGGCAATTTACATCTGACAAATCCCCCTCTAAATGCCGGTTCGTTACACAACACCAATTACATTCTGATTCAGGACAATATAATACATATAATTTAGAAGTTAAATATTTGTGTTGTTTAGAAGGTAAGGGTTTTGTTAATATGTCAGCTAATTGTTCAGAAGTATCGCAATGTATTGCTTTAATGAATCCGTCTTGAGACAGTTGTCTCACATGCTTAAACTTTATATCAATATGCCTGGACCTTTGTCCAATTGCATCGGATCTGGATATTTCAATGGCCGCTTTATTGTCTTCATGCATAATAAATGGTAAAGTGGGTTTCTTCCAAACATCAGTGATCAGATCATTGAACCATACAAGGTTATTTGCAGCCTTGGACAAACAAACATATTCCGCTTCTGTAGTAGAAGTGGCTACTAGTTCTTGTTTACCAGTATACCAGTAACTGGACAATCATTCAATAGAAAAACATAACCAGAAGTACTCTTTCTGCATGATGTATCACCAGCCCAATCTGCATCAGCATAACAAGTAATTTTTGGTTCTCTGTCATTATTGGGTTCCAACATTAAACAAAAATCTAATGTACCTTCAGATATCTTAGAATTCTTTTGACAGCTTCCCAATGATACAAGGTTGGTTTACTAACATATCTTGACAATAGATTGAGAGGTAATGCAATATCTGGCCTAGTCCAATTAGATATATAAAGGAGTGAACCTATAACTGATCTGTAAAATGTGTTGTCTTTAAACTCAGGGGAAGATTCATCAGTTTCTAAGAAAATCAGTTTGCATAGGGGTGTCACAGGTTTTGGCATTATTTAAGTTACATTTGTTTAGGAGTTCGATGATTTTATCTTTCTGTGTAAGTTTGAATCCCCTTTTAGTTTTGTTAATTTGCACACCAAGGTATTTATTCACTTTACCCAGAGATTTCAGTGAGAAGTGTTCATTTAACTTATTTACAAAGATTTCCCTGCTCTCTTTATGCTTTCCAATGTATAAAATATCGTCCACGTAAATTATTACAAATTCAATATGATCATTACTCTTTTTTACAAAGAAACAATTATCAGCAGTGGTGGCGTTGAAATCCATGGTCTTAAGTACTTTTACCAAGCAATCGTACCATCTTTTGCCGGATTGCTTTAATCCGTACAGACTCTTATTTAATAACCAAATTTCGTTCTTATTTGTATTGACTGTGTGGTGCTCTTACATATATTTCCTTATCTAATTTTGCATGTAAGTATGCGGTCTGTATGTCATATTGGAATACGTCCAGATTGAGTGCAGATGCTACTACAAGGGCTGTTTTGACACTCTCTGTTCTCACTGTGGGTGAATATGTATCAGTATAGTCTTCTGGATATTTTTGTGCATAGCCTTGTGCAACTAGTCTAGCCTTGTATAAGGTATTGCCTCCTTCTAAGTTCTTAATTTTATAAATCACCTGGTCCTATAATTGTTTTATCCTTAGGTGCGATCGCAGGTGTGAATTACATTTAATCTTGTAAACTTTCCATCTCTTTTTCCATAGCTAGTTCCCATTTTTCTCTTTCTTCATGTGGAAGTTTCAATACTTCTTCATATGTATTAGGTGTTATTTGTTCTCCATTCATATGCATTATGTAATCTTTGTATTTATTTGGTATTTGGTTTCTATTGTTTTAATAGTTCTATCAGGCTTGCTATGGTTATCATGCAAATATCTAGCTTCCTTTTTTGTTAATGTGTCTGTCTTTATTTTATGCTGACTATTAGTCCATGTTTTGGTTTTGTTCTTACTTTTGTTAATATTTTGATTTTCTGTTGTTCCTTCCTCGCAAGATATCGTATCTTTACATTTATTAGGAAATATTTCATTAAGGGCAATTTTGACCAATTGGCCTGTTCATGGAACACAGCTGTTCTGGATACTATAAATTTGTTATTACTATCATAATAAATCTGTACCCTTTGGTTCCAGTTTCGTATCCCATGAATCTTAATCTCCTGGATACGTTTTCTCCCTTTCTCCTCAATTGTTTAGGTATGTGTACGTCTGCAGTGACTCCAAATATGTGCATGTGTGATAATTTGGGTTTTCTATTGTACACACCTCATATGGTGTCTTATTCACAATACTGGACCAGGTTCTATTTTGAGTGTAATTCGAATAATGTAATGCCTCTGACCAAAAATTGTTTGCCTAAACCAGCATCCTCTAATGTGCACCTAATCATGGTTTGTAGTGTGGAATTTTTCCTCTCTGCAACTCCATTTTGAAATGCAGAAAAAGGATTGGACGTGAAATGTAACATTCCTCTATCCTTTAACCATTGGGAGAATTCTTTAGACATGAACTCACATCCCCTATCTGTCATAATTTGCTTTATTCTGATATTATGTTGTGTTTCTATACGTTTGTAGATTCCTTAAATTTCTGAAATGTTTCATCCTTGTGCTTTAATGTGTAAACAAAACCATATCGGCTGTAGTCATCCACTATTGTTAGGAAGTAACGTTTTCTATAGGTAATTGAGGGACTTAATGGACCAACTAAGTCCATATGTACCAAATCAAAAATATTGTTAGTTGATCTGTTAGATTTTTTTTGGTCTGGGACTGGTTTTTAGTTTGGTGGATTTACATACTGAGCATTCCAAAATAATTTTCACAATTTTTTATTTT